TATATGAAAAAATGTACAAAATGAAGAATAATGTAAAAAATTTATTTATAAAATACATTTTTTTTTTTTTTAAAGTGGGGGGTATGTTTAAACTGTTCCAGGAACACAGGGAGGTGGCTACCTTTTCAGCACCATGGTCAGCTGCCAGGGCGCTTATACCATTCCAGTACTTGGAATCACAGGTATAGAGATCAAGAAAGAAAGTCTCTCCCTGTTGAACTTGAATTTACAAGTCCTTAAAAGGAAGTGATAAGATCAGATATCTTGAAACCCTTTCTGAGAACTAGAACTCTGATATTCCTCATGGCCAGATTCAGTACTTGGTCTACTGCATCTGTGCTCTCCATTAGAAGGAGTGATGAGACCTCCAGCCCAGCATGTGACAGAACACACATGACCTAGAGTTCTGCATGCCACACATCTCCCTCTACCACACAGAGAAGAAAAGTTTCAATACAGAAAGCATTTCTCGATGATTAGGATAAACCTTGAGCACTGACTAAGCACGATCTCACTTGACTTCCAAAGAAATCTGATTTTTAAAACCTGATGTGGTCACCCAGTAAGACATAACCTCTATCTCACACCCTTATGTCACGAGAACTGACCAAGGTTTTCATTCCATCTACTTTCAGTTCACAGGTTATGTCAGAAGAGCTCTGATTCTTTTTTTGTCCCTGACCATGCTCCAAATCAAGGTGACAGCTTCCTAATCCATACCTATTCAGTGAGTTCACTAAACTCTGAGGGGAGAGGGAGCTATGGTGACCCTGCATCTTCATCCTTTTCTTGACCAGACTTCAGGGTGAACTTCCCCCAAACCTACTCATTCATCTCGCTCTCCACCCAGCTCGTCATCCCCCTCTACAATAGAGATTTGAACATTAATGAAGGCATTTAGTGAAGGTTTCAATGGCCTTGCTGTTGTCAGATAAGTTTTTAGGATTTTGGAATCAGTTCTGAGTTATAATCACCTATTTCAGCAATCTCCTCTGGAGTTTCTTGAAAGTTTTCCTCTTCTGCATCTAGGTCAATACGTTCCTCTTTGCTGTTGCGCAGACTCCAACACAGGCGGTGGAGCTGTGGGAAGACAGAATAGGTATAGCAGAAAGAGCCAAACAGTGTCCTCGACCAACAAATTTGGAGAATAACGAGATATGCTCAAGAAAGGAAAAGCAAGTTGGCCTTAAGGTACCAAGAGGAATATAGCTAACAGTTCCCATCCACAGCACTAAAAGTACTGGGAACTTAGATGTAAACCATACACATATACACATAAACCCCTATGATACATGCATATTTGGAGACTAACAGATTGTTCTGAATAGAGATGTTCCAAATGAATGAATTCTTGCTATCTATGATAAATGAACTTGTTTCTTTTAGCACTGATACTGGCAAGCAAGACTAGATGCCCATTTGTACAGATCAGTCATGTAAGTTCAGAATTTTATATTATGTGGTTTACCATCTTGTTGGTAGAGAATCTAAAGAATCATGAGCCATTTAGAAGAGCTGGAGGCACAGTTTCCACTGATATGAAACAAGAAACTTGAAGTCTGAAAATCAATGCAGGTGTTCACCCCAAGCACACCTTCTTTGATAACCTTGCTTCTTCTACTTCGAGAGGAAGCATGCAGCCAAGATGTGCTTAGGGCTACAGTACTTTTAAAGAATGAGACACCAGGAAGTAATTAATATAATACAAATCTGAGACAGATTTGATGCATAAACATGGTGGAGGTTCTGTTGTGATAAAAGTAATCTTTCTTTGGGGTCTTCCCTGGTGGTACAACAGTTTAAAGTGTAGTATTGTGAGGCTAGCCACAGCTGCTTCAACATAAGTTTGATTCCTGGCTGAGGAGGTGACCCACATGGTGCGGCGGACCTCTCCTGACTCGCCCACTGCTCCCCTCAGCAGTATACTTCATCAATGTGCCGGTTCTGCTCCTCACTGTCTCTCTGGTGAATCCTCTCACCATCCCTGTACCCTCTGGCCTGTATGCATACATAAATAAATAAATATTTAAAAAAAAAGTAGTTGTTTGACATTAAGGTTAATAGATTTGAAATGTTTTTTACTTTTTTAAAAGTAATTTTACACTTAAAATTTTTCAAAAGTAGTACAGAGGGTTCCTATATACCTCTCTCACTTGGTTTCCCCTAATGTTAACATGCTGTATAACCATAGGATATACATCCACAGAAAAAATAATGTGCTACAATTTTATTAATTAAGCTGCAGAATTTTACTCAAGGTAGATAAGTTTCCTACTCATGTCATTTTTTGCTCTGGGATCCAATCTAGAATCTCCTTAGTATTCCTTAATCTGTGACAGTTCCCTAGTCTTTCCTTGTTTTTCATGCAATTACCTTAAAAATTTGTCAGTGAGGTTAAAAGTCTCTTAGAGATTCCATACGTGTAAGTAAAAAGTTAACAAAAACCTTTTCCCTTCTCTATGGAGAAATGCAATCTTGGATTAATACTTCAGCTCTGTTTTGGAAACCAAGAAAGACAATGTCCACTGTGCTGAGTTACCAGACTATATTGGTCATGATAAAAATGGCCCATGCTTGGTAATCTTCATCTGCATCAGGAGGGCTATAAGCTCTTGCCCAAGAGTGACAGCTCAACATAAAGAAGAGTCTTGCCAGTTTTGAAGCTTTAAACTAACTAGGCTTTGATACTGCTGATATTTGATATTGATGTTGCTTAAAATATCTTTTGTTCTTTGGGCAACTGTTTTGCAGCTTAGTTGGAAAAGTAACCTTCATGTGGTGACTTTTGTAATTAAATATGTGCCCTTTCTATATCCCCTGGAGGCTATGATTACAAACTCTTATATGAAATATAAGTTCCTATTTGGGACATGAGTATCCAAATCAGGATCAACCCTCTGCTCAACCAGGTAATTTTATTCCCTTGTACCTTAGCTGTCATTTGGGGAGCAGGATTTGAATAATCCTGGACTGAAATGTGAACTCCCACTGAAGACACTCTTTATACCACCCTACTGAGGTAGAACACTACTTCCCATTCTGTGCCCTACATGAAACCAATGGCAAATGTGGACTGTTTTAGTCAAGGGAGTAAAATATTTAAATGTGCCAAGGCCTAGATGGGTGTTGCAGCCTGAACATGGAGCAAGGGGTGGACAGATCTCCCAAATAGATACTCACATGTTCATCTGGAATGGGCTTGGTCAAGAGGGAGACAACCAAAATGATGATGATAGAAATGACAAAGAGGATGATGGCAAAGTACAGGTAGTGCACACCGCAGATAATTGTGGGGCAGTTGCTGGGACTCATGCAGCTTCCGGTTCCATAGGCAAACTCAGCAATCATCCGGGACACTCCAATCAGGAATCCTATGATCAGCCCCCAGAAAGCTCCCTGTGAAAGAAAACCTTAGCTTAATAATGGCTGAACATGCAAACAACTGTGCATTCCTTAGGGGGCAGAAGGAAAGGAATAAAGATGAGAGAAGGGATAGCTCTGGGGCACCTGAAGCCAGAACAGAGGATGTTTAGAATATGGTTAGGAATATTAAGGCAAGCCTTCAGGGGGTGTGTTTCAGTGATATGTTCAGAAAACAATGATTCATGATATAATCTTCAGTAATTCTTTAAACATATCATGCATATTCATTCTCTGTATCTGGGAGAGCACAGCTCTTCCCTATTCAGAAAACTTGTTCTAACTTGAATGTCCTCTCCTTGCATCCCCAGACAGAAATGGGTGAACAATGTGGCTGCAGCACTCTGGACACACCTGCACACCAGCTCCGACCACTGTGTAATGTATTCACTTCTCTGTGTCCCCGTCTGAACCAGGAGCTGGCCCAGAGAAGGAAACATGATTAATTCCCTTTTTTAATAGCACCTAGCTCCAGGTCTGGCATCTGGAAGCATATCAGAGAAATAAGAGAATAAGGGAAAAAACATTCTCTGTTCATTACCCATACACTTATTTAGTCAAAAAACTATTTACCCACTTTAGTTTGTGTGAACAGACTTGAATTAACTTGAAAGACTCTCTATCTCTTTTTTTGGCAATTAGCCTTTTAGTCTTTATTCTCAAAAAGCTCTCAAAACAATCTGAAACTTTTGACATTTTCAAAAGTCTTCCTCACCCTTTCCTGGGTGAGAACTTCTATGCTGGTCCCAGGTTCTTAGTTCTGTTTCTTGAAAGTGCTGGTCCAGCACAGAACTGAAAGTGCATGTGTCCACTGCAATATCCAGTTGGGCTTCAGCCACATATTTCTAACTTGTCCCCTTTCCATAGAGTGCTGGGCCAGTTCTGAGACTTGTCCTGCAGGGACAGGCTCTGCACGCTTCTCTCTGCAGACCGCCAGTTTCTCACCATCAGCACTGTTAACTTTGGGCTAAATAATTCTTTGGGGAGTGGGTGGGGAGGTTGTCTTGTGCATTGTAGAATGTTTAGCAGCATTCAACAATAGCATTCCCTGATTCATAACAATCAAACATATTCCCCAGAGAAAAATGTTCCCCAGAGAAGAGCAAGACACCTCTCCCCAGTTGAGAACCTCTATGCCTGTCCCAGGTTCTTTGCTCTGTTGAGAGCTCTGGCCCAGGAGAGAACTGAATGTGCACGTGTTCACCGCAGTATCCAATCAGGCTTCTAGCCACATATTTCTAACTTGTATTTTAGAAACCTCCTAGTGAACCAGCTTCAGCCAATTCCTTTTGAAACTTAGTCCAAAAATGTACTCCCATTTTTCTGACCTGTCAAGATCCCTTTCAAATTAAATTCCAGTCTTTTAAGGTGTTTATCTATGTACCCAATATTGTGTCACCAACAAATCTGGATTTTTTTCCCAGTTGACAAAGGTTAACAGAAGAAAGACACAGTGGTAACTTTAGACACCTAAAAATGGGTCCCTCTATGAGATCTTTCCCTGGTATATTTTTGTATATATTTCCCTGGCATGTACTCTATGCAGGGAAATGGTGAAAATGGTGGTCTCCAGTCAAAAAGTGTCATCTTTCTATTGTTTCAAACTCTTTCCCAATACTCCACGGTATGCAGGTGACTGGATACAAAGACAGCTGAGAATCCACAGTCAGAAGACATACTCAAAGGCCTTCTTTTCACATGCTTCACAAGCTGCAAGGAAACCCCACTAGTGACGCAAAGTCTTTAGCCTGGCTTAAACTGCCTCTCCAGCTGTGTCTTCTGTTACGCGTGCACACACACACACACACAGACACAGACACACACACACTCCTTGAGCCATGTGAGAAGCCAGGTAAGTCCCTAACCTACTTGCCACTCTAAGCTCTGGGCAGTGCTATTCTCTCTGCCTTGAGTGCCCTCTTGTTCCCCTCAAAAGGGCATGTCTCTTGCCCATGTTGATGTAGTCTTTCTGAGAATAACTTCCCACTTGTATGTAGTGCCACATATTATCCCTTGAATGTCATCTACCTTATATTATTTTAAATATAAGCTTCTGAGTACCAGGACTTAATCCTACACTGGGCCCTAAAAAACACAGGCTGGAAAGTTCACTGTGGAACCACTGGAGAGTATCCTGAACTAGGACTTCTCCTGAGATTGCACCCCCTGGGGCCACAAGCTTCTCAAAGAGTGCCAGGAAGTCAGGCCAAAATCACCAGGACTGGGTGGAAAATGTATATCATTCCTTGGGAGCTAGTTTGAACTCTGCAGCAAGGAGGAGGGGGATCTGAAAGAATGAGACCCCAGGAGAGGCCCTGAAGTTTTCCCCCATACAAACACTCAGCAGCACATCCATTCCTGCTATAGATCCCTCAAAATAGAATTCCCTCCCACAGAGAGTATATAAGTCCAGTTGGGAGTTTCTGTGCCAGAATGCCTTTTCCAGACCTGTATGGATGATACCCACCTGCTCGTTGACTCTCTTACAGAAAATAGCAAGCAGGAAGACAGCTGCAATGGGAGGTCCCAAGTAACTGGTGATGGACTGGATGTAATCGAAGAGCTGCCCGCTTTGTGCTGACTGCACAATGGGCACCCAGGCAATGCTGACACCAATTAGCACCAAGATGAACACTCTGAAATCAAAGGCCCCACAACCAAGCGTTAATAAATGGCTCCAGGCTTCTCTGGTGGCTTAGGGGTTAAATCTCAGCGCTATCTCTGCTATGGTCTGAGTTTTGTCCCCAGCCAGGAATCTGACCCATAGGGCAGAGCAGACCTCTCCCATCTCTCCTGCTGCTCCTCTCAGTAGTGTATTTCAGTCAATCTGCCTGTTCTGTTCCCCACTCTGTCTCTGGTGAATCCTCTCACCTCCTGTACTGCTGGCCTACATCCCAGTTCTCCTATGCAAAAAAAAAAAGAGGCTTCATAATGAATAAACAGATCACTGGATATCAGAGATATCTATAACTAGCAAATATGTACACATAACACATAGGCAGATATAAAATGTATAAAACATGTCTTATGTGTTATATATATATATATAATAAGTTATATGTTTGTAATATGACAGCAAAGAAAAGTAATTAGCAAATTAATTCTTGAGGAATTTTTCTTCTGTGTCTTCAATAACTCATCTGTGCCTCTGAGTAAGTGAAATGCACTCGACTTTCAGTAGGGACCTAGACACAGTCCTGATTTTTGGACCTAATTTAGGGTTTCCCTCCTGCCAGATACATTCCACAGCTAGTACACATCTTCCTTACCTCTCCCTTTACTGAGCCCTGATTGCTTTTACTGGCAATTCCAACATTTGGAATTGTTCCATGGGAGTGTAAATTTATCAAGGGCAAGAATGAGCCTCAGGGCAGCAGTCACAAAAATATGAGGCCCAACATAATCTCAGGCTCAAGGGGTCCTGCCTTGAGCAAAGCAACAAAGTGTTTCTCTTCCCTGGCTGCATCTTGACCCTTATAAATAGCAGGAAGAGTCAAAAAACTCCTTAAGGAAAAGTCATCCAGGTAATGGTGCCGCTTCCTTGATACATAATAGTAGGTACTGACCCAGTCTGACCTCTAGGTGTTTCATCATCTGGGACTGGTATACCATTATCCTTACCTTTGTTTGCCCTAATCTCGCCCAGAGACATATCAGGTGGCAGTCCACATCTCTCCTGTACTCAGTGACCATTTCCCTCGACTGATAGTTCAGAGGACTGTTCCCCTGCCTCGAGGAGGTTGCTCTGCCTTAGCCCATGGAGAGACATGGAGGTGCTTCTTCTAGCCTCTATCCAGGGCAACTGCTCCATGGACAATGATTATAATAAACACATCTGATCCATGTATTGTTTTCAATATCCTTCTGTGTCCACTAGCCTCCTTGCCATTAACAAATGTGCTCATAGCCTGGTGCTTAAACCTTACAGAGCATGTTCACAAGTACAACTTGACGTGCCCCACACAGTCCTGCAAAATCTTACAGCAAAAGGTCGTCATCTGAGGCATCTGAGCCTCAAAGATATCCAGTGAGGACAGCATCAGTGTGGGAGGCTGAGGAAGACATTGTGGGTGCTCAAAAGAGTCTTGGATAAGGACTCAATTAGCCATGGATTCCAGACCTGGGCCTGGCTTTGCCTCAGCTGTCTAGATTTAGGCAGGACAAGTCTTTTTATGCTCACTAGTAGACTGGAGATTAGATTAGACAATCTAATGCCAGAGGGGCATTTTGGTTATCTCCAATTTAAAGTTAAGTGCCACTGAAGGGCTATTCCATCCAGACATATGCTAATCTTCCCAACTCAAGGGGAATTTCAGGGGAACATTATAGGGAAGAGCTGGATTTACCTTCCTGCAATCATGAGCTCCTTTTCAGATGCTCCCTTCCGGACCTTGGTGTAGATGTCCATGGTAAAGAGGGTGCTGGCACTGTTGAAGATGGAGGTCAGGGAGCTCATGAGAGAGGCCAACATGACCGACAACATGAGGCCTCGCAGTCCTAGAAGAAAAGGAGGTTCTGAGTGGCACAAAGCACCTGAGCTCTTTTATGCTCAGCAAGAGAGGACTCAAGGTTGGTTTCCTTGCCAAAAACATGTACTGTTCTCTGATTCATCTCCCCCAAAGAAGTAGAAGGCTTAAGAAATGAACTGTAACTTTAAGTTTTACTGTAAACCCATAGCAGTCAACAAAGAGCTAAGGAATATATATATATATATATATATATATATATATATGTGAGGTAAACACTTGGTAACTGAATGATGATGGTGGTGGTGGTGATGGGGGAATGTGTGTGTGCAAAGTAGGTGTATATGAGATACTTAGAAGGCAAAATGAGCAGAATCTGGTGATGGATTTGTGGGGGAACATTTACTGGATGACTGGAGGAGAGTGCATCTGCAAATGAGACAATAAGGAGCTGCCATAAAAGGTGGTGGGGAGGGGCGGTGCTGGCAGAAATGAACAGAAGAGAATAGTGCCGTGGAATCTAAGAGAGTAACTCAAGAAAGATGAGTGGTCAGTAGCTGAGTGCTCCTGAGGGGTCAAGTAAGATGAGGAATGGAAAACATCTTTTTTGATCTAGCACAGAAAGGTCAGAAACCGGATTTCAGCTGAAAGTGAGGGAATGGCAGTGGTGTACAAGGGCATTCCATTGCCCTTCATTTTTCTGTTACGCACAGTCCATTCTAGCACAGTGTTAAGAGCTACAGTTCTCACCCAGGATCTGCCAATCTAAAGAAAATAATATAAACACCCATAAAGTCGAGCATAATCCCAGCCAGACGTTTAAATGAGCCAGGTGACTCTTCCTAATTGCAAACTTGATTAACAATCAGGCTGGCTCAGTGGGAAAGTTACCCATTACTCCCAATTTTATAGAATTTGAATTCAAATGGTTTGCGCAAGGTCATAGGTCCAGTCTGCAGTTAGAAAAGATCCCAAATTCTTCATCTCCCTCCACAAACAAAGTAACACAGTTGCTATATGCCCTTTACTCCTGCTTCCCTCAGTTTCCCCAAATGTAAAATGAAGAGGTTTGACTAGGTGGTCTAATTTTATAAATAAAATAAAATTTTATAAATTCATTCTAAATTTTCCTGATTAATAGCTTTGCATTTATGATCTCTTGAGAGCCCCCCATCTAACAAAAATTGCATCTCCTGATCCAGAATTATATTTTTCTTCTGTATGAAAAATGAACTAGGAATAGCCTCGCAGGTATACCCCAAAACTCATTCTCCTGAGATAACAAGTTCTTCATAGTGAAAAGGCCAACTGTAAACTATCCACATACTTCCTTATACTTGCTCATTCTAAAGCTAAATGCCCTCAAACACGAGTGTATCAAGACAATGTGTGTACATGTATATATATGCATAATGGAATGCTATGCAGCAATAAAAAGATAGACTCATGTAATTCACAGCAACATGGGTGGAGCTGGAAGGGAAATAAGTGAGAAGGAAAAAGAAAAATATCAGATTGTTTCACTTTGAGGAGGAACATAGGGAAAACCAAATAAGGGGTCAGAAAAAAAAGACAAAACTAGGAGACAAGCTATAGAGCTGAGATATATTGCAAGGGTGAGGCAGGAAAGGTGTCAAAAAAGGGAAGGGAAGAGCACAAGAGGATATGGTAGCAGTTCCCAGGTGATGTGGTGGCAGAAATTTTATGGGGATTACACCTGAGGAGAGAAATGAAATATCATACAAAAATCAAATGATGTAAAAAGAAAGAAATAAATATAAAATTAAAAAAGACTGTCAATCTGAGCATTAAAAAAAAATGAAAACCAACAAACAAGAAAATAAAGTTAAAACAGCCCAGAAGTCAACTCATTCTCCAGGTAAAACTCCACTAGGTTCAAGCCTTCACGTTAATGTCTGTTGGGGAGCTACAAAAGACCTTCTAGATGAGCATGGAAAAGACATGTTTTTCCCTTCACACATTTTCAGATCATCTCTTCCAAATCTTACTGATGGGAAAGCCCAACCAAGTCATAGATATCTCCTTTCTGCTGAGAGGAGACATGCTCAAAACTGAAAACATCCAGAATAAGTCTCTCCTACTGACCCCCCCAGCACAGACACGGCTTTCCCCCAGAGGTCCACAGAAATCTGTTTAAACCAGAAGCCCAATTAACTTCCCAAGTGAGCCCCTGCCAGTGGGGATGATTCTCACCATTGGGCATGAGCTCCATCACCAAGGTGGGGTAGGCAATGTTGGTACAGCCAACTTTGGTGTTACAGTGCTTCTCACATTCCGAGGGGGTGGCACAGGCAACTTTATCTGCAGAGAGATGAAGAACCCTGTCAGAAAGCAGACAAGATCTACTTTCTTTCAATTTTTTTTTAATATGCTTAATTTTAGTTAGTTTTTTTTTTTTTTTTAAGATTTACTTACTTATGCCTACAGAACTGGGGTACAAAGGTCATAAGAGGATTCACTAGGGGCAAAGCAGGGAGCAGAACAGGCAGATTGACAAAGTACACTGCTGAGGGGAGCAGTGGGTGAAATAGGAGAGGTCTGGTACACCATGTGGGTCAGTTCCCTGGCCAGAGATCAAACTCATGCAGAAGTGGCTGAAGCCAGCTTTGTAGTGCTATGCTTTAACCAGCAGAGAGGGCCCCCAAGATTCACTTTCTTAAAACAAGCTTTTGAACAAGATAATCCTGCCTTGAAGTGGGTTCACAGAGTGCTCCTGGCTGAGCCCTTCCATGCTCTGCCCTGTCCTGCTGGTCCTCAACACCCCAAGCTCTGCCTGAAAAGAAGAGGAAGCTCCTAAGCAGAGGAGAGGAGAGGCAAAGACATTATCAAGGTGGGAAAGGAGGGGGTGTGATCCCCAGACTTTAGCCAGCTACATGGCAGCTCAGCAGCACTGTCTTGTGTCTACTGAAGACTAGAGATACTTACAGTTCCTTTTTGAGCATCTTTTAAGCCAGTCTAGCAAGTGAAGTTAAACACTCAGACAACTGAGGAAATTCCCCCCGGGGGAGGTTTACTAAGTGGTACTTCCAAGACATGGAATATCTGGGGTAAGAAAGAAAAGAGGAGGAAGAAGAGAGGAAGAACATGATCTAGACCCTGGAGAAAATTCTAGAAACTTCTACAGAATTCAAATCAATAAACATTTATGAGGTACAGGTATATCATCTAGAGCTGCTTCTTATAGCTCTGGTTGGAATATTTTTATATGTGTTATATCCCTTATCATATAAACTATTCAGTTAGGAATATATCTCATAACAGGCAAGCCCATACAGGGATGTGAGAGCACCATTAGGAGCACTTTTAACAGCCTGTGGCAGCAAATGCGTTTTGACTGTTCTGTCTTCACTTTGAAAAGTGCTCACAACTTCACTCCACAGTGCTCTCTTTTTTGTATTATCTCATTTTCTAGGAAACAGCTCTGATTTATTATGGTTGACCAAAAAATAATAATAACAATGAGTGCAAGTGGCAGTGCTGGAGAGGCCACAGAAGGACCAAATCTTTCACCCTGGAGAGCCTAATGCAAGGGGCTCCTTGGAACAGGAAATGGAACAGGAAACAGGTCTCAGAGGCAAGCTGGGGTCATTTGGAATTAAGGTTCTTTGTCATTAAGAAAGCCTGGGGACACTGAGCAAGATGTGAGCAAAGGTCAGCTGGAAAAGCCCCAACTCAGAGAAGGGGAAAGAGAGAAGCAATTTTCAGTGGGGGAAACCAGGGAAGATAATGTCACAGGTTCTGTGACCTCAAAGTTCTCACTCTCTAGAAGGGAAATATAATGCTTGGTAACTGTAGCAAGAAAAAAAGAGCAGAATGAGAGGGGACTTTCAAGTGAAGGAATTTTAGAAGAGATTCAGAGTCAGGGAGAAAGCGGCCATGAGTCCAGCGGAAGCATCACCTGTGTACAGGATGCGGCTGATCATCCCGGGCATCACCATGAGGAACATGGGCAGCAGCTTCAGGTACCCACACATGATGCAGCCGGCCTTCACGTGAGACATGTTTTTGGCTGAGAGGCAGCGCTGCACAATGACCTGTGGGGGAAGGGCAGTGAGGGCGGGATGCCAGCCAGAGGCCCCCTGACACCTTCGGTTCCTGCAGCTCCCCACCACCAAGCCCATCCTGGGTCTTTGACCAGGTAGCCCCATGTCAATGAGACACCATGACCCTTAGACCAGATGAGCACTGCGCTATCTTTCCTGACCCCCAAGCCACAGACAGACAGGAGCCCTGTAGTGCTCTGGGCCTATCTACCCTGCCTGTCCCTTATGGTACCTGATCTGTGCACCAGTACCACAGAGCAAGGATGGACATTCCAAAGATGAGCCCAGGCCAGGGCAGGTCTCCCTTGAGTGGATCTCGGAAGATGTGGAATGAGTCGGGCCTCGGGGTGTAGCACTCTTCCTTGATGGTCATATTTCCCTCAGTAACCACCGATGGAATGGCTTGCATGTACTTTGTCATGAAGGCCTCATACCCTCCCACTTCATTAAAAGCTGGAAAACATTTGTTACAAAAATTAGCATCTTGTGTGATACATATATACAGTGGAATATTACTCAGCAATAAAAAAGATAAAAACACATGCCTTTTGCAGAACATGGATGGAGCCGGAAGGGATCATGATTAGTGAAATAAGCCAGAAAGAAAATGATGGTTTCACTCATAGCAGGAGTATAAAGGGCCAGGGGACAAAATAATAATAATAATGAACAACTATGTGCCAGAGACATTTTATGGGGATGGAGTGGGGAATGGGATCTAAAATGGTGGTGGGGAGGGAAGTGCACTGGACTGGCACACGGGTGATTTGTTGATGGGAAGCCCACGGGGATTACAACTGAGATGGAAAAAAGCACAAAATGATGTAAAAATAAACATATTATTTAAAAAAAATTAGCATCTTGAAGCTCTAAATTCTTCATAGCAGTTTCCTCCTGGGGATGACTGAGAAACTGAGAGGACTACAGCCCAGCCCTCACTGAGGGGTCACTTTCCCATTCTGGACCTCAGCTTCCTCATCTATTGGGGACCTTGCCTGGCTCCCTGTGAAAGCCCAAAGCAATGGCCTGTGAAAAAATTCCAAGCATAAACCCAAACCCCTTTACAAAGAGAAGACATTTCAATTATTAAAAGATGGACTTCAGGGTTTTTTTTTTTAAGGCTTATTTTTGTGTCAAACAACTGGGGTATAGGCCAGAAGGGCCAGGGGTGTGGGGTAAGAGGATTCACCAGAGACAGAGTGGGGAGCAAAACAGGCAGATGACCTAAACACAGTGCTGAGAGAAGCAGTGGGCAAGACAGGAGAGGTCTGCTGTACCAGGTGGAGGGCCACAACCCCCACAGACCAAGACTTAACCTTTAGGTCACCTTAGGCCCCAGACTTTGGTTCTGAACCAGATCCAAAGAATCTGTTTCCCCCCTCACTCCCTCTCATGGCTTGCAGGAACGACAGGTACGGGGGCTTGAGACACTGGCTAGGTCATACCAGTCACCTCTGGTTCCAGCAATCTGGTGGCAAGGATAGGGAATGGGTGAGGAGTCTGGAGCCCTGCCTTCTCCTGGTTATGTGCCCATGAAAAAAGCAATCCAGCCCCTGTAGAACCCTGGAGATGGGTGGGGGAAACTGAATGGAAGCTCTTGGAAAACAGCATAGAGAATGGAAGAGGCTTTGCAGGATACACAGAAGGCATGAGCCCCCATAAAAATGAAATACATTTTATAACTCTGCATCTTACCTAGAGATCTAGGATCTTATCTTTGGACAATTTTTTTTTTTAAAAATCAGGGTGTGGAGGGGGAGAGCACTACAGAGTGGTTGTTTGTTTGTTTGTTTGTTTAAATCTTGTCCAAAAAAAAAAATCACTTTCAATTCATTCAAGAAAGAAAATTTAACGCCAAAATGTAGACAAGATATAGTCTGAGATTTAAGACACAATATTTCAATGTAATCAGCCTGTGGGATATGTAGCTGTAGTCTTTCTTGTCCATTTTCTCTATAGATGGAAAATTATGTTGTCCCAGGCTGACAATGGGAGCCACTGTCTAGCGAGGGCAGCAGGCTCTCCGAGTGTTGCTGGTCCAGACCACCCTGAGACCTCCAGGGCTGAGGAGGTGCCCCCTGCACACCCACAGTGATGGTCAGCCAGCCCCAGGCCGTTCCCTGGGGAGGGCAGTTAGTCCAGCTTCCTGCCCATGCTAGTGGCAGGCAGGGGGGCTGAACACAGGCCTCGGACACAGGCGGGACACAGGCTTATCTGCCCCAGACACGGGCCTCAGTCTCTGCCTCCCACCTCCTCAACTTGCCCTAGCACCACTTACCAAACCCGGTTAGAATAAAAGATCCCACCAGCATGATTCCCGTCTGTAAGGTGTCCGTGTAAATCACAGCCGCCAAGCCCCCTACATAGTCAGGAAACAAAGCATCCTATGTCAGGTATGAGGCGCAAGCAGCTGTCCCCTCTCCCCACCCTTCACCCCTACTCCTGCACCCTGCTCAGGCACCCACCTGCCTCTCCTTCCTTCCCTCCCCTGACCTGTCTTCCCTGTTCAGTAATCTGCTGCCCAGCAGGTTCCCACAGCTCCACAGATATGCTAGGAAGGACTTGGGGAAAGGGAAATGTTCCTCCCTGTTTGAGGAGGAAGAACTTGCTGTGAACCTTTCAAATAGGAAGATGGCTTCTTTATGGTAAGAAGAAGCATCGTTCCCAAATGAAGGCAGGAAAGCCTAGAGACCTCACATCTCTGCAAGGTGTCTGGAGACACTATGAAACTGGCACACTTTATAGAGCTACTTGTATGTCCATTTTTTCTTTTCTCAGACAGCCTAAGTAATAACTTGTTCCCAAAGCTCTGGGGCTCCACTGAACAGCAAGTTGCATCACTGACCATGGCCCTTCCTAATCACCACAGGGTAACACCTCTGTAAAGGTGCCCTCCACTGTTACCTGTGCCAGTAGCCTCTCTTGTCAGCTCTTGAATATTCCTCTAAAATCTCTTGGTGCCATTCTCTCCCTTTCACAATGCTCGCACCCCTGTAAGAGCAAACCCAAGATGCCTCTCTCTCTGGTCCCTGCACTACGACCTCAGGACTATCAGGCTTTATGAACCACATACCCCTGGCTCCCTCCCATGAGCCACCCTCCTTCAGTCAAGCACATTTGCTTGCCCACCCTGCATCCCTGCACCCCATGATCTCGCCTCCATCCCTTTGCTCTCACTGACCCCTATACCTGACACTTCTTCCCTGATTCTTCAACTCAGCCAAGTCCTCTCCATAAGGCCTCATTCCTCCATATTCCAGTCAACACTGGACTTTTCTAGAGCTAACTCTATAACCTGTTAGAGTCCATGCACTGGGGCCAAGCAAACACCCCCTGGGTTTATCACTCCTTCCTCGGTTTATCTCTCTTCATTGAGAGGAGAAGCTAAGTCTCTTATTTTCTCACCCTTCACAAGATCCTGATCCTAAACCAGGCTTGAGCTGCTGGATCATTCTGAATGACTCACCAGTGATTGTGTAAATGCCAGTGATTGCCAGTAACAGAAAGATAGCCAGGTACAAATCCAGGCCCAGTGCCATGTTGATGAATATGGCCCCAGAGAAGATGTCCGCCTGGAATAAGAGAAGTGGAGTTAGGAGTGAGAGAGACCAGCTGGCTGCAGATGTACCCAGGGTCTGAGGCACTTGAACTGCTGGGACAGGAAAGCAAATTCGGGGGGAGGGGGGGTTGGACAAAAATAAAACAGCCTGATTAAAGATGAGCAGAAGATCCAAATAGACACTTTTTTAAAGAAGATGTACAAATGATCAAAAGGCATATGAAAAATGTTCAGCATCTCTTATTACTAAGGAAATAGAAGTTAAGACAATAATGAGCTATCACCTCATCCTACTTGGAATGGTCATTATCCAAAAACGAAGAAATATTAAGTGCTAGTTGAGAATATAGGAAAAAATGTTGGTGGTGTAAACTGGTAGTTATTATAGAAAACAGTGTGGTGATACTGCAAAATAAAATAAACCATATGACCCAGTTATCCTACTTTGGGACAATTACCCAAAGGATAGATTCGAAGAGATAATATTCCATGTGCATCACAGCATTATTTATAGTAACCAGGAGTTGGAAATAACCCTGGTGTCTTTCAACAGAAGACTGGACTAAAAAAAGATGTGTATATGTAATGGACTATAAGAATCTATAAGAAGATGAAGTCCTACCATCTGCAACAACATGGATGGATGCTGAGGGTTTTATGTTTAATGAAATAAGTCAGATGGAAAAAGACAAATACCATATGACTTCACATGTGGTCCATAAACAAATGAACAAATGAACTGAATAAAATAAAGATAAACATTTAAACTATAGGACCAAATTCATAGTTACCAGAAGAAGAGAGGGCAAATCGAGTAACAGGGGTCAACTGTAAAGTGAAGGTTGGAGTTACACTTTAGTGAAAGCTCAATGTAGTATATACACAGATGTTGCTTTATAATGATGCATACCTGAAACCTAGCTAGTGTTCTTAACTAATGTTCTGTAATAAAAATTTGCTTAAGAAATAGTCAAATTCATAAAGCCAAAGACTAGAATATTGATTACCGGGGGCTAGAGTGGGAGGGGAGGGAGGAGGAATAGAAAGTTATTAACTTGAGACATAAAGTTTCAGTTAAGTGAGACAAATTTTTCAGTAAGATGAATAAGATCTAGACTTCGGCCACACAATATTGAATGCATAGTCAGAAAGAGTGCATTGTACACATAAAATCTGTCAAGAGAATGGATCCCTGTCAAGTAATCCTACCTGAAGGAAATAAGAATAAAAAATAAAAGGATACAAATGCCTGAAAGAAAGTCACATTCTGGTCCGATATTTCTTGACAAGTTTTCTTCAAGATAATAGATAATTGATGAAAAAGAGGATCCCATGAACCGAAAGGTCTGTGCTTACTCAATGTGAAGATAGATCTACCACATGATACAGCAAGTGCACTTCTGAGTATATATCCAAAGAAATGAAAATAGGATATGGAAGATATATCTGCACCTCATGTATACTGCAGTTGTTCACCATAACCAAGGCACAGAAATAGCCTAGCAACCATCAACAGGCAAATGGATAAAGGTGATGTGGTGTATATAGACAATGGAATATTATTCAGTCATGTGGAAATTATTCATGACTAAATAATATTCCATTATAGATATATAGACGGGTTCACTCTTAGGAGGAGTATAGAGAATCCAAATAAAGAATCAGGGAAAAAAATAATTACAATAAAGTAAATACCAAAATCAACAGGCAACTACAAACCAAAGCTATTCTGCAGGGAGTGAGAAGGGAACAGGATCAAAACAGGAGTGGGACGAGCATAAGGGACTATGGTGATGGCACATGGGTGAATCGATGGTGGGAATTTTATGGGGATTATAACCGGGATGAGAAAGCACACGTTGTAAAAAATGATTCAAAAAATATACAAAAGAAAAAAGAAAAAAAGAAATAACCCAAACAGATAAAGACAAATATAGTATGATATCACTTACATGTGGAATCTTTTTTTAAAAAAGAGTCAGGACCCTCCCTGGTGGTGCAGCAGGTTAAAGCACAACACTAAGAAGCTAAAGCCACTTCAGGATG